TTCGTGTGTGGGCGGGGGAGGGAGAGGGCAGATCACTTTCACTTGCCGTACCGTTTGCCTTTTGTCGGGTGGGTGTTTGACGAGTGCGCCACGTGTTGCACACGCATGGAGAACGCGCAGCGCACGCTCGAAGTTCGATGTTTTTTTTAGCCACGTACAGCAGTACTACTTGTTTTTTTTTTTTGAGTTTTTCACAAACCACCGCGTGCATTCGTAGATGACTAGGGGGGGGGGGCACGCAGAGCGAACGTGTGGCGCACGACGAAAGTTCGTGTTTTTGTAGACACGTACAGCAGTACCACTTGTCTTTTTGTTTGTGGTGTTTTTTTACAGATGACCAGAGGGGGGGGACACGCAGAGCGAACGTGTGGCGCACGACCAAAGTTTGCTTTTTTTCAGACACGTACAGCAGCACCGCTTGTTTGTTTTTGGTCGGTATGTTTTTCACAAACCACCGTCTGCATTCGTAGATGCTTCGGAAACAACGTTTCCTCACGACGCGAACTTAGTCAAATACAACGTAAAAAACGTTTTGAACGCGGATCCATTCCCGATACCGTTATCCCGGGCTGTGGGAGCTGACCGTCTACGCCATGATGCCGTTCAGCCAACACTGTCTCCCTAGAACATCGTGAAGTCAGAAAAAAAAAACATATCTGTTACCATCTCGCATCACGCAACTATGACATGACAAAATTCCCCCACACAGGGGGGAGGGTGCTCACCCTTACCCTACACGCCAAATGTTATAAAATAAATGCGTTTGGAAACCTACATTTTTCTTCGACGTCTCTGCAATTCGAATTTTCTCGCGCAAGAGATGCACAACGCAGGAATGACACCCAAACAAACGACGTAATGAACAGCGACAATACGTATCGAAACAACACGAAATCTTACCGGACACCACTCGTAGATTACCCCGGTTTATGGTGTTTGTAACACATAAAACACGACGTCCGCAAAATTGCCCGAAACGTCCTCGTAGAGGCGCATGTGGATTTCGCGCCCGACCCTCTCCCCCCGAACAAAAAAAAAAATTCTCACCCGCCCGTGCGCCTTCCCTTCCCTTTCACCCCCCCCCGCCCTACCCCACCAGAGGCGTTGCATTCCCGACCACCGTCCACATCCGCCGCCCCGGCCCCGGCCCACGCTCCTCAAAGGCCACCACGGCCGCATTTGCCTCGTCTCATCCATCATCCATGCACTACGTCCTCGGGACCCACCCTCCACCGCAGCCCGCCCGCGTTCGATCCCTCACGTCTTCCTCGCTGCGTTGCGCACCAAGTTGTGCTTTGGGCGGTACTGGCGCTTGTTGTCCAGCATCATCGTGATCCCCTTGCGCGTGGAGACTTCGCCTGACCTGGTCGGTTTCTGCGCGTCCTTGGTGGTCGTGCTGAAAGATCCTGGCAGAGTCTTGTCGCCGAGTAGGTGGGGGCGTGCCTGGACCACCTCCGCGTCTTCTTCCGACCGTTGGATTGGTGTAACCTTCTCGTCCCGGAGATAGTTGTGGAGGCGGAAGAGCGCCGTGATGAAGTCGCATCGCCCAGCGAACTGAACACGCAACGGCTTCCACAGGATGCCCCACTGGCCGACGAGAATGCCGAACGCTTGCTCGATCCTGACTCTGAGTTGACTCAGATAGAAGTTGAACGCGTCTTTGTCCAGCGGCAGTCCCCTCCCTGGGTACGGAGTCAACAGGTGGTCGCTTAGGGGGTAAGCCGCGTCTCCGAGCATGTAGAACCCTGGCGGCAGGTTTTTCACCGCTGTGGATAGATCCGAATGGTTCCATGCCGTCCAGTCATTGGTCGAGCCGGGTGCAATGCAAGACATGCTGCAAAACCGGTAGTTGGCATCGCATGTCGCCTGTACGTTCATCCCGTAGCCGCACTTGCTCCCAGAATAATACGAGAGAACGTTCGGAGTGTTGAGGGCAGTTGGAGCAAGAGTCTTCACGAAGAGGCCATCCCCCGCAGCTACCACACCTTGAAAGGCGCCGCCCGTGCTTTTTTCCTGAGGAGAGACATGGCAGGCGGGGAGGGACACAACAGAGGCGCTCTTAGATTCGTTAAAGTTTGATTTTCGGGCAGCGGCAAGCCCATCGACTACCCCAGAAAAAACGTACAGGCGTGTGCGAGCAATTAAAGACGAGCCCTCTCCTAGACATGCCAATCAATACAGTGCAGACTGGAGCTCATTTCGCCATGCATCAAGCCAATACGTGTACACAAGATACAGAGGTTTCCCCGTGCTGTCACAAGTGTTTCCCGCTCGCTCCTTATTCGGTGCGTCTAGACAAGCAGGATATTCTGCCGAGCGGAGGACCGACATGCATGCATCCATGCAATCCGCGTCATTTGTTTTGGGCCAGACTCTGCAGCGTGGTGCCTTGCTTATGTACCATACACGTTAGGAGGCCTGCAGCCTACGGAAAAGGTGAAATTGAACTGCTCTTCCGACACCAGACCCGGTAGGCATACCAAAGCACAACACCTGTCTGTCCATTTTCGCCGCCTTGCCTGTTCTTGGCCATGTTCGCACGTACGTCTGTTCGCATACTGTAATCTATATTCGAAGTAATGCTGAAACTAAACCGCCACCAAACAACCGCCACCAAACACGATCATGTGTTTGTTCACATCATCATAGTCACCTACCTGGAATGCAAACATGCAATCTACCCTGCGGCTGTAAACTAGGGTATCATTTCCGCACCTCCCATTCTGCCGCCTGCCGGGTGCACTCATCCTCGCTCTGCGGAAAAAAGAACGGCCCAACCTCTGCTGTGCTGTTGATGGCATCCACCACCTGCCACAAGATGCTGAAGACCGTCTCCTTGGACACGCCGAACAGCACGGCGACATCGAGATACGAAGCACCGGCCATCATCCGCAAGCCGATAGCTAGTCGGATCTTCGTGGGAACAGCACCGCCTCGATACCGTTTTCCTGATTCGCATGAAGCACAAAACAAGCATAGCGTGAACGTATCAGCAGACGAAAATAGCAAGTGCTGGGCGGTGAAACTGTTACCCTAACCCTAGTCAGACACCGGAGGTCACCGTCCTGCTGGTGTAAACCGTCCTGCTGGTGTGAGAGTGCGGGCGGTGGTGCTGCGGGATGATTCGCCTTGTTCCTACAGCAGTAGTCTACACCTTTGTCTTCTGCAATGCTACACTTCAGCATCAGCAACAAACGGAAGGACGGGAAAAACACCACGGCATGAGTTCTGCGCCTCGTACGTCAATCACACTCTCTCTCTCTCTCCCTGCCCCCCCGCCCCCTCATCTCTTACTCCCGCCCTCTCTCTATTCTCACTTGCGTAGTAGTCGTTCCGTTGGAGGATCGGTTCCAGCAACCCAGCCAGCGATACATCCTGCGGAAGAGCTTCCGCTTGTTGAGGTCAGCAGCATGATCCTCCCAAACCAGGCGCCGTGGCTCGTGGATAGCCGCACGCGGCTTTTTAGCGCTAGCGTGCACAGCTACAGAGAGAGGTGACCACTGCCGCCGCACTCAGTACCAGCACCACCACAGCAGCAGCTGCTTTCATCTGCCGCACCAGCTATTGGCGACCGGATGCACGCCTGAATCGTTGGCTCGGTGGGCCAGCACACGACGAACCAAGAGGCGCGCCGCGTTTCCTGCGGTCCGCCATGGCCCTGCCGCTATCCAAGTACCCTCCGCCGCTGCTTCTCCCTTGTAGTTGGCCCTGTAGGTCCTTTAGCTGCTGGGTGTGNTGCCTGAATCATTGGCAACAAATTTTGGCGCCCAGGTTCGTTCCGAATTTTTGGACTTTATTTGGACAAACGCCTCTGTACAAGTTCCGGAATTTCGGACAATTTGTACATTTGTACAAAATTTGTACAAATTTTTCCCATGTATAAAACGGCCCTTAGTCTAGACTGAACATACACATCATCCTGATCGTCCCCTCATGATACCGTCGGTCTGCAAACAACAGTCCGGCACGCACGTAGGAGAGGAAGACTTGACAAACACATGAATCATATCTGTGGTAACAACTCGTGCCAGACTCCACGAGATGGGACGAGCACACAGAAGACATAGACGCTGATATCCAACGCGATTTGCTTGTAGATCTAACTTGTGTAGGATTCATATGTAAACAACATGATTTAAATCTCAGATGCATCATTGGTTCAGTGGTAGAATGCGTGATTGCCATTCACGCGACCCGTGTTCGATTCACGGATGATGCACTTATTTTACATGACTTCTTTTTTCTCCCTAACCCTCTTGAACAGCAGGATTTGTTCGGTCCCTCGTTCTTCCTGTCGTGGCACTATAATATGCAATTAGGTATGCGCTGCTCGTTATCAAAGCGAAGGATATCTGATCATGTTCACTCTTGCCCAGTCATCAAGTGTGTTGATTCGGTTCATGTACTTAGTATGCACACGCAGGACGACTTCCGTAAGTGTACCTGCTGCTGTAGTATCAGTAGTCTTGCGCTTTGCTTGCTGGTCCGATCATGATGATGATGAGAAAGCATCTTCCCGAGAAGGCAACGGCGCGCGCGAGGGAGAACGCGTTTTGTGTGCTTGAAATAGATATGTTATTGATGCACAAACACTTTTTGGTATCTCTCGTCGTGTCCGGCCGCTCATCATCTACAAACAACCGTAGGAGAGTAGCCCCCCCAAGAACATCTAGTTGAAGATGTAGTCTAAATCTAGAAAATGACAAAAAAACGAGCTCCTTCCTGCCGGCGCCACACAGGTGGCCAGTGGGCACGGTTACGGGGGGGTTGAAGTGACCTGTAACCCCTAGGCGTTGTGCAACCTGCGTAACCCGGTCGGGCGCACCGTTGCCAACCTCGAAGTCAGGCAGGGTTCTACATAGTCTACATCCGCCTCTGAAAAGTCAATACGACAACACCTATGTACGTATGTTAGATATAGTCTAGTTACACCATAAGAAAGACTAGTCAGCGCTGACTAGTCTACAGACTAATAATAATGGTGTAACGTTATCTTACAAAATATATAGTCTATGCTCAAAGCTCATTCGCACCCGACTGGATCACATTGTTGCGTTGGTGACTAGTGTAATGGAAGATATGGCGATAAAGGATTCACGCACAGGGTCAAAACCCAACTGGTCACTTTCCCAAGCACCACTAATAATGCTCTTTTCAGGCAGCGTCTGGCGAGGGGTCCGTCCACGGAGATCTCTACTCACAAACGTTTAACCCAAAAATAAATGTGATCCAGCCGGCCGGGTGCAAATGAGCTCTGAGCATATCTTTTGTAACACAACGTTACACCATTTGACTAATCTAGCCTAATAAGGGCCGTTTGAAACGGACCGACTTTTTGTCAAAATTTTTGAAAGTGTCAAAAAAATGGAACCTGTATGTAGGCGTTTGTCCATTTTTTTCAAAAGTATTTGGAACGAAGTTGGGCGCGAAAACTTTGCTCCACTTCGTTCCAACTTTTTGACAACCCTCTCAAAGTGTTTGGAGCACTTTCCAAACTACCCTTGCAGAGGCACGCGAGGGCTGCTGCGTCTGCACCACGAGTGCCCCTCACCGTAGAAAGTCAGCTAGGGTTGTGTGTGGGTCATGGCCGACCGTAGAAAGCGCGGCGCGCCTACAGATTCGAGCGGCTCTCCTCGCCCACGGGCACGCGCAATACAAAAAAAAAAAACGGCGGTCCGCCATGATGGCTTGCAGTTGTTGCTTCGCGTCCGCCGCTTTGTTTTTTCCTTTTCCCGGGGGGGTAGGAGCAGTGGTTGCCACCCCTCGCCGGCGGCCTGCTCCGCCCTCGCGCTGAGTGTTGATGGCGGCAGCGCCTCCCGTGGTAACATGAGTGTTCCCCGAGATGCCAGGCAGCAGCACTATCTTGCTGGAGAGCAAGCCTCCACCGCCTACGGCGGCACCGAGAGAGCCCGTCTGCTGGAATTTCGCCGGGGTTTTGGTCTGCCGGCCACGCTGGGTGGTCGTGATATCCATGTCGGTGTCCATGATGTCGTGTTTTCCGCGGTTTGTGTTGTGTCGTGTGTGTTGTCTCGAAGTGAGCGCTACAACTCACGGACGGCGTCATTTTTTTTGACACAAGTTGCACAAGTCCACGTCACACGTTTAAAATGACTGCACACAGGTTCCAAGTTTTTGAAAGACAAATAATGTCGAAAAATTTGACAAAAAAGTCGGTCCGTTTAAAACGGCCGTAATGGCAAGTGCAATGGTGTAACGTTATCTTACAACGTACGTACGTCTGTCCCCTTAAAAATATATGCTAATATAGGTCGAATAGACTATAAATAGTATTATTACATATACAGATGCTGGCGGTCATTCGCCACTTCCACGAGGGCATGAGGGCGCGCGTCCGAACGGACGACGGGCAGTACTCGGAATGGTTCGACGTGGGCCAAGGCCTCCGACAGGGATGCAACCTGGCCCCGCTGCTGTTCAACTTGTTCTTTGCCGCGATGCTCATGGTCGCCGTGGCCGAGTTCGACAAGGACCCCAAGGTGACGNGTACCATCTCCGCGGACGGGAAGGCCTACCGGGAGATCACGAGCCGCAGCTGCCGAGCGTGGAAGTGCTACCGCCGGAACGGTGCTTCGATGTACGACAGGCGACGGGCCAACCCCCAACTCAAGATCCGGCCACTCCAGGCTGAAGTGGTGGAGACTTGTTGGGAGAATTGTGTGCAAGAACTGACTCTATTCTACAGCAGGGTAAAATATGGTGAAGGCTTGTATCCACGTCTGTAACCGTCAGGTGAAGACAGCTTGGATGCCGATGTGTGAAGTAATGATCACTCTGTGTTTCTCTACCCGAGCCTCTTGCGTCACATACGCCAACAACCACAACGTACAACAGCGGTGAGGTCCCGCTAGTACGCCCAACAGGTCATGCGCCTCGCGCGGTAGGGGAACTACGTTGAGTCAACATGGCGCAATCATTGAACCATCTCCAGAGGGGTTATGTGCCGTTCAGCGGGGATCCGGCCCAACTCGAGGGTTGGGTCACGCTGACTCGGTCCCGCATGTCCGAAGCTGGACTGAGTAGGGTCATGTCGGGAGCGGAGATTGCTCCTGCGCCTTTGCCAGCGGGAGCGACCGACACTCAAATCGCGGGACACGAGAAAATTGCCCTAAAGTTCAAGGAAAAGAACGGAAAAGTGTACACGAGACTGCTTCTGGCCACGTCTGATGGCCCGGATGGATACTCCAGCCCTGCTTCGCAAGTGGTACAGCAGCATGGGCCAGTCGGTGACGAGGAGTATGGTGATGGACGAGGTGCGTTCGTTGCTCTCCAGCAGAAGTTCCGTGTTGAGGGTGTATTTCGCATGCAACAGCTCCATGAGGAGCTTACTTCCGTGATGGTCACTGCAGCCGACAAATACGACCCGGCCCGAGCGATTCAACAGTTGCGCCGCATCTGCCTCGAACTGGACAAGTTAGGAGATACAGTTGTGGAAACACGGAAAGCAGGTGCCCTACTACGAGCCCTCCCTAATGGACAGTATGGCTCGTTCAAGAATGTCCTGATGAGCGAAAAGACAATCCTCGGAAGCGATGGTCTCGTATTCGAGGAGATAGCGCGCCGTGCAACTTCGTATCACGCCATACATATTCGCGGAGAAACGTCTGACCATGGTGACGGTTCAGGCAGCCACGGCCGTGCGTTGAACACTGTCGCGCACGAAGGAGCACGTGGTCTCCGCAGGCGTGGCGGCCGTGGCGGCCGTGGTGGACGCAGCCGCCGAGGTAATGGCGGCCGAATTACAGACGGTTCGACCAGTGAGTGTTTCAGTGGGTCGAACGTCGAACGGCAACAACAACAACAACGGAACCTCCGGAGGAGACAGCGCGGGAAATGCGCATGGCGGACGCGGGAATGATCGCAGGAGCCGAAACTCTGGAGGTCGTGGTCGGGCTCAGGATACCGGCCGCAACCGTCAAGGACGTTGCAGATACTGCCGTAACAGCACCGAGCACGGGTGGGACGAATGCCCGCTCCGCCGGAGGCACGAGGCGGAGGACAACAACAACACAGGACAGGAAGGTGCACAACACGCAAAACTCCACCACGCAGGCTTGGTACAACCGGGTGGAGGCGGCGGACGATGAGCTTGAAGATTTCGCCAT